CCTTTTACTTTTACTGAGACAGGAGTTCTCTGAATTACCAGGTATTCAGGCTGGGCTTAAATTTTTGATTCTCCTGCCTCAGCCTCCAGGGTTCTGGGACTACAATGGTAATCATCCACTATGCCCAGTTCAGGAGGAAATATTCTATGGAGGTAAAGAAAACAGCAGATGTGTTAAAATAAAATTAAGTGACAAATTAAACAGCTAGTACATATTGGAATGTACACAGCTGCACATGGAAAATTATAACATGCAAATTATAATATTTTGATTGCTGCTCTATTTAAAGTGTTCATTATATTTTCTCAGTCCTCATTCTCATCTTGGAGCTCATAGATACAGCTCTCAATATATTTCATTTCTAGTTATCATCACCTACTTATTTCTTCAAGGTGGCCTCAAATGTGATTAGCAAAGAAACATTTTTCATTTGAAGCAAAGAAAAATAAATGCATCTTTGACTTTCCTGTAACCACAACCAATCTTTGCTTAATTTGTATGATTATAGTCTGGGTTAAAGATTTAAGGAGAAGGGACAGGAAACAGCAAAGATAGGAAAAATGATGAGATGAATAAAACTACCACAATGGGATCCTATGTAACCATGATCTAAATCAGGATATAAAATGATTCTGTTATGGGTTAGGCTCTCCAAAAAGCAGACCCCAAGACAGAATTTGGCATGGAGGCTGCTTATGAAGAAGAACTTCTAGGCCAGGCATGGTGGCCCATGCCTGATCCCAACACTCAGGAGGCTGAGGCGAGAGGACCGCTGAGTTTAAGGCCAGCTCCTTCATGGCTAGGAGTATACTAAAGTGTCTACTACAGATTTAATGTCACATTTTAAACAAGCAGAAACTCACGAAAAAATGATGACGGAAATATTTAATTTACTTTGTTAAAAAATTTCTTGAATGAGATAAATTTCATCACAAGTAGTACATTATACAGAACATTTTTAGACATCCAAGTTTCATTTTTACATGACATTACATGTGCTCTACAGTGTTTCTGTTTGTGCTTTTGTTCCCTACCTATATTACCAGCACCATAATATTCATGCCTCCTTTGTCTGAGCCACAATGAATTGATCATAATCAAGTCTGGCATAATAGGTATGCACTTTCTTTAGAAAGGTATGCACTTTCTTCTCTGGCTTTTTATTTTCTAATTTTACTTGGAAGTGGTTAGATATGATAGTTTTGCACTACACATGACAAGGCACACAAGAACCATGTGCTTCTGCTCCTACCCATCAGCACATTCCTGAGCCATGCGCTTGCCACGCTCTCACACCTGCTTCCTCTGCTCCAGCACCACGCTCACCATTGCACAGCTGACTTTTGCTCATCGCCTCACAAGTCCACATAATCTAAACTAATCCTGCCCTGATAAGCCACATTTCTCTCACATTAACCTACTTTATTACCTTGGTAACAAAACTACCTCAGGTCATCTTGTTTATATACCTATTTGTTATCCACTACTATACTCTTAACACATAGAATTAGCACCTAGCCTTTAAGTATTTCATAACTACTCACTTTAAAGAATGAATATAGACAAAGAGTGGATATTTATGATTCATATGATTTTGAATAAACATTAGAAACACAGTAATTGCCTGTCTAGCAAGCACAAGGACTCAGGTTCAATCCCTGGCACCACATGCCATGCAGGCCTTGGAATCCTGGGCCCTGGAAGCCCAGGTATGCCATGCCAGCCACTGAAAGCGGGTGTGGTTGCACACGCCTCTAATCCCAGCCCTTGGGAGGCTGTAAACAGGAGGATCACTAGGTGTCCAATCTATGCAGTGAGACCCTGCACATCCTATACTCCTTATCCTAAATACAAATAAATAAATAAATAAATAAATAAATAAATAAAATAAACACAGTAACTGAAAATTATTTGTATGAGCAAAACCATTTTTTATTTATTTTCCGGATAATTTTGAAAAATAGAAGGGGCTGCAAATCTATATCCTAATATAACTCTTACTAAATATGTAATAAGAGATCTCTATATCTGAGCCTTCCTAAACAGCATAATGATACACAAAATAGTATGTTCCTGTTAGCACAAATAATGTTTTTTGAGGTAGCAAAAATATATTTAACTGTGTGTGAAACACATTCTATCTTTAGACTGGTAAAATGTTATCAAAAAAAGTTAAAATTTCTTAAGGATAACTTCTCAAATTCGTATTATAAACCTATGATAACATCTCTGTAAGAGAGACAAACAAAAATAAGCCATAAGTTAAGTTACTAGATCTACCAATAATATTTCTGTATGAAGCTTTTACAATTTTTGGCTCTCTTTTTAGCTAGGTATAAGATGTCCCCAAAGATTCACTGAGCTCAGGAATTCAACTTCTGGCAGCATCAAATGGAAAGTCCTTTGTGATCCTGGCTGCAGTTACCCTTGCACTCAAATATGGATAATTGCAAGTCCACACCTCCCACAACACATTAAATACTTTCATTATGAAAAGTATCAAACTCTTATTTTCAACTGAACTTATTTCAATATACAAAGTTCTATGCAGGTTCTCTTGTATGTAATAAGAAAAATGTTTTTATTTACCTAAAACTTTAGTTCATTCAACTCATAGTTCAAAAACTTTGTTTTTGGTGGAAAATATGTTTGCCACATCATCTATTTTTGTGTGACTTTAATTTGACTTTCTTTCAGACAGTATCTTTTGAGAACAAGAAAGAATTACAACGCCTAGGAAATCCTGGTCTAAGAAAGCAGATTTTCCTACAGAGCCCAGAGACACTTTAATAACCCTGATTGATATCAGGATCAGAAAAACACAAGGAGGCAAGACCTCTTAGCATCCAAAGATCTGGTGCAGTAGAAGAAAGACATTCATGTATCATGAAGCATAGTACATTTTAGATAAGTTCTAGAATTTTAAATGCATTTGGCAGGCCAATTTTTAAATAGCAATGAATTGGCAACTGAAATTAATATTAGTTTCTCCAAGTTATCAGACAGTTCTAGTCTATGGTAACATGAAAGTGTAGAACACCTGGAAAAATAAAAATGAATCTTTGAATACAGGCAAGAAATTCTGGTAATCATTTTCACACGAAGAACACTTTAATGCTGCACCACAGTCTACCTGGGTCTTCCATACTATAACATAGGATGTTACCTTAAATAATGTAACAATTAAGGAGAAGACAAAAGCAAACATGGACTTTTGCCGTGATTCATGCACACATTTCTGTAACCCCAACAAATTAAAAATGTTGTTCAAGTGAACAGTCAAGGTAATTAGTTTACCTAAGTTGTACTGTAGCAAGTCCTAGACAGCACAGTCAACAGCCTCAAGGAAACAGAACAAGTATAAAGCTAAGTTAAAGGCAACTTTATTACAATACTTTTCCAAACTTCAAATTGCATTTATTACTGAACTTAGATCTAATATATAATACATTATATTACAAGGCATAAAGCATTTCTGGTTAGATATTTAGCTTCCATAGATTGCCCAAAAAACAGCTTCCTAGGCATAGCAGCAACACATCGTACTTTATAACACTAAGTAAAATATTTCTTCAGTATCTCAGAATCATTCATATTATAATTTATTTTGTTATCTTCCTTTGACTTTAAAACTAAGCATAGCTATCTTTCCATATCTTGCTAGTTAATATCAGGAAATTCCCCTATACCATAAAAATATTCAACAGTTCTGTATAGTTCCTTTAGTAGAAAACAGAATTTTGAATCTAACCAAACCAAAAAATATTTTTATTTTCTCACTGGAAACAGCAGAGTTCTCTTCTCTCCTTTAGCAGCCCTGTCTTGGCCTCTTCCTCTTCTTCATATAGCCATCCTGAATAGAGCTTGCTTTACAAGATACCTAAACCTACAATGAATTTCACTATGAAAATTTTTTATTTTTAGTCTTATCTCCTTGTATTTGCTTACATGAAATAATTTGTAATCAATTCTAAACAATCCATAGTAATGAACTTAAAAATGATCTTGGGAAACATAATGACACAAAGGATGTATTTTCCAAGTTAGACAAACATATTATTTGTTTATCTACCTTAGCTTTAAATGACGAGACAAATTCAACTTAAAAAAAACTCCTTTTCCAATGTTATTACCATAATAACAAGGGAAACACATAAATCCACTGAATAGATCCACTCCTTTCATTTTTTCCTTTGACTATATTTATGAGCTACCAACTAGCACAAAACATGTTTATCTTCTTCAGTTTCACAATAGGAAATTGTTAGAAAAGTATAGAATAGAAAAGATTCTATTTTCCAACAAAGCAAATGAACACAGATCTTGCTATGAAGTTCAAAAAGAAAAAGTGAATGAAAAGGTATATGTGCTGGCTGCTTGGGGGCAAGGCTCATAAATCACTGTACGTTAAGAGCACGAGCTGAAACTTCATGGTGCCAGTCACGTAATTTTGTATATTTGGGACTAAAGACGTGAAGGGGTATCTTTTCCCTGTGGAAATAAAAAGAGTAACAGAAGAGTCATAAGAAACAGAAAGAAAAGCTTCTATACCAACTCCACCATGCAGAAAACATGCCTTATAAAAGCTTTATTTCATGTAGTTGTTTTGTTAAATAGCAAAGATTTTAAATGTTAGAATAGTTTTAGAAATACAGAAATTAATCTAGAGTCCTCTGGCAACATCCATTTTATGCCCCAAATAAAGTGACTGCAAGACAATACAGCTCATTCACAGAGAGATTTACTATTAGCAAAGCACCCAGGCCCTCTGCCCACTTCTTGTTTCAGTACTAAGGAAGATAAAATAGACACAAAGTCTAGATATTTCCTAACTTAAGAATCTGAGCTTGTATAAATAGTCATACTAAAAGCACCATGGTTAAATGCCTAGCTTCTATTTGCAGAGACAAAATGCCCAACCATTATACTTGAAAATCTGACAAACCAAACTGAACCATTCATGAAGGAAAAACATTCAGTTTACAAAATCTAAAACTTACTTTGCCTTCTTTGTATTATCAGATTCAGATTCTTGCACTGAAATATAATAATACCCCACATTAGTTTACTTAACTTCAAAATCATTTTAGCAATTACATGCATCAATTATCATCAAATGTTCAAAGATTCATAGGGCTACTAAGAAAAATTCCATGCAACACAGTTTGGCTATATATCAGTCAGTACTCTTCCCCTGCCCAACATAATGCTCCTGGACTGATATTTTATTTATAGTGTCTATGTTGTTGTTGTGCTCAGCCTAACTTAAAAGTGCACTGTCCTAGGCTTGTTTCACAATAACTGCTAGTATGACTAGGTGCTCCTAGGTGAGCACAGAACATTCACCCATTAGGATCCCTAGAAATTCACTCACGATGTTCAGTCCCAGTGATCTGGGCAAGGATGCGGAAAGAGCGAGACTGAGTTGTTCCAGTCCTCGGACGCCAGTCTTCGGTATCCTCCATCAGCCTCTTCTTGCTGGCATCACTGTGAGTGGGTATGTGATAAAACTCCGTATTGCGCTCCACAATGTGTTTTCTTGGTGGACTAGGGATAAGAAGAAAAAAAAGAATTAAAAACTCTTAAATTTTGTTAAAAGGATAAAACACCCTCTAGTGAATTATTTGTATTTTATATATAAAAGCCTCAAATACAGAAATTCATGGAAACAGCTTGTATATGCATGTATATTCAGGCTTATTTTTATTTAAAAAACGCTTTCAAAAATAGATTAAGGTTTTTTTTTATTTAGTTAAAAAATACATACAATGTTAATATAAACTAACATTATGACAATGCATTCAATAGGAAAATTACCGTTTAGGTGGAAATTTCCTTTTAATTGACAGAAGGCAGCAGAAAGATTTCCAACATGAAGAAAAGAGAAGGAAAAGAATAAGAAAAAAAAAACTAAAAAATGAAAAATATACAGTAGTCATTTGAAATTATTTGTATCCATCATACAAGATGCCAACATAAAACAAAGATTTGAACTATGATTTAACCACAATTAAGTACTGTATCAACAGTATATACTGGCTTTCACAAAATTAAGCCACTATAATGTTTTCTAGACCTAGGAATCAAAAATGATTTGCTTACAGACTAAACTGGCAACTCCAAACACAATTTTTTTTTTTTTTTTGGCGGAACCAAGGATTGAACTCAGGCCCTTGTGCTTGCCAGGCAAGCACTTATTCTACTGAGCTATCTCCCTGGCCGCCCAAACACAATTCTGAGAAAAGTCATAATTCTTATTTTCTACAGCTTCTTGTTCATATGTATGGATATCCTTGCCCAAAGCAGAGACACTATAAAGAATCAGCAGAGTGATGATCTGTAGGATATTAGAAAACATTGATACGTTTATCAGAAGAGTATGGATGAAATCTTGGCTCTTATCACTTTTTTTTTTTTTTTTTTTTTGTATTTTAAGGAGGGGGTTACAGGTGTTCCATGTCTCACTACTAGTTTGGACTTGTAGTGATCCACCTGTTTACAACCTCCCAAGAGCTGGGATTAAAGGTGCACGCCACCACGCCCAGTCTCAATTTCTTTCTCAGTGTGCCCCAGGGACAGGGCTGGCACAGCAGAACAGAGACCAAAGCCCTGGCCCCTGCTCCTGCTTGCAGACACTGTAATCCACTGAGCTATTTGGCCAGCCCTATACCACTTTTTAGATGTCTGATTTTAGACAAGTCAATTACACGAGTCTGGTTTTTCATGTACAAAGCAAGAATATCACACGAAAACTGAGTTCTTCTGAAGACCGAAAGCCAAATCATATGTCAAAAAAAATATGTATACTACAGAATTCAAGAACTTTGAGTTTGCTGAAAGTATTTTAACAGTTTAAAACATTTAATTAAAACATTTTTATTAATGAAGCATCAATATCCACAATATACGTTATTTCAAAACCATAAGATTTACTGAACACAATAAATATTCTCCCTTTCTCTATCCTTATCAGGGCAAATCAAACTGTTGGAGAATAGCCATGAGTTTAATTTCAGAAGAGAAAAAGTAAGTGACTTGCAGAGTACCAGCATGAAATCTGAGTAGAGAAGGTGCTACAAATGTGGTCTGATGCGACTGTTGAAAACTCCTAATAATTCCCTACTAACTTGAATCACCAGTGATGCAAGCAAGACTGTCTCATCTGGTGGCTGTACCACCCAATGCACTTGATGAGATAGTCATGCCTGTGGTTCAGAACTGCTCAGCAGCAAAAGAGACAAATTACAATCCCATCATGAACATGTTAGTTCACTCCTAAAAAAAAAAAAAAAAAAAAAAAAAAAAAATCACAGCACTTTCAGAATGACACATGACTTATAATTTTAAGTTATGAAAACTGCCTCATAATTTTGGGAAGATTCTTCCCAAAGAAGAACATGATAGAATTAAAGTCAGTAACGCTGGTCTTGAAGTCAAACATGTTCCAACAGTACATCTTCTACTCAATGTGTATTCAATATAAATCATTTCTTCAAACGTCAATTTCCCATTTGAGCAATGGAAATGCAAATTAAAGGTTGTCCTCAAGAATAAATGACACAGATAATATATGTGAAGTGCTCTCCACAGTTTGTAACCTGTAATTTATTCTTTTATGATGACTAGAAAAACAACTGCAATGCCATCTTACAAAACTACGGATTATTGGCACATAAAAAACTGAATCAAGAGGTCAGGCAGGAATACAGCACAGCAGCATAAATGCCTACCTGTAAGCATCAAGATCCTGAGTTCTATTCCCATTACCAATAATAAATAAATAAATAACACAGATGCACAAAATAACAAGGCATTATAATGTATATAATATTATTTAAAAGGTCTTTACTAATACTTAAATCTTGTCCTTCTTCCTTTATTTTATGTATTTTAGTACAGGGTCTCACTACACAGACTGGACTCATAGTGATCCTCCTGTTTTCAGCCTCCCAAGCACTGGGATTACAGGCATGTACCACCACACCCAGTCTCAATTGCTGTCTCAGTGTGCCCCAGGGGTGGGGCCAGCACTGCACTAGCCCTTTTTAAAATAGACAAAAATTTTAAAACTAGCAGTAGGCTGAGATTATTTTATAAACATCTTTTTGGCATGAGAGAAAAAGCTCTTTACCATCTGTAAGTACTTGAAAAGAATCTATATTCAAGTATTAAATATATTAATAGTGTAACATAATAGTGTAATATACTATTTACTGGTGCCAGTTTCAAGTAAAGGATTTGTATATCAAAACACAAAAGTGGAAAAGTTAAGATAATAAGAATACTAAATTAAAAAAAAACAATTTTAAAAAAAGGAGGCCCAAACTACAGCTTTAAATCCAATGTACAAAATCCTTAATTCTTCCTTATCCCCTTGAAATTAGCTTACTAAGTTTTTCCACTGCAGAAGTGTAGGCATTCCAAACACACCCACTGACTCATACGAAGTTCTCTAGCATGAAAATGTTTCTTATGCTCCTCAACATTTTTTGAAAATTCTTATAATGAGATGATACTCATTTGCCAGTGGTGCTAAGTTGAAAGCAAGATGGATAGTTACAGAGAAATCAATGATGAAAACTATAGAACAAATCATTAGTTAAGTACTTACACAGTGCCAGGGTTACTGAAGAAGGAATAATATACACAAGAAAGATGTGATAGAGAAGACATTAACGTTTCCAGGATGATGGAAAATAAGAGATGAGGAAGGAAAAAAAGAAAACAATGAAATAGCAAAATTCACAGCAATAAATTTAAGTGAAGATGTTACACAAACACCATGCTTTAAAGTAATCCTATAAATAAACACAGACAAGTACAAAGACACAAATGTTAGTCATAGTTTTGTTACATTATTAGGAGAGTAGTTTTACCTGTTTGTTATCCTGAAAACTATTTTATGTATTAATGCTAGCTCAAGTCACAAGTTATTAAATACCAAGGAAGTATCTACCAGTTTTCTAAAAAGTACGTTTTTATAAAATTCATTTTAATTAGTTCAAATTTTTATTATGTTTCTAACAAAAGGTGGAGAATAATGTATTTTGATGTACCATACAGAAATGAATAAATTTAGAATCATTTTTAAAACAAAAAATTTCTAGTCTCACATAAAAGTACAAATATGTAATATAAATTACATAATTTCTCTAATGTAAATTATCGTGATCACATGAGAGTGTTATATAATTTTTTCTTCTTAAAATGTAGTGATCATGATGAAAATGTATAGAAACAGAGGATCATTATAATGGGCTACCTCTCAATTTTCATGCCTCTACTTGTCTCTCACTACTACCATTCATAAGCTATTCCCAGCAACCTTCATGGTTCTGTCTTGCAGATGACATACTTTTTTTTTTTTTTTTTTTTTTGGCGGAACCAGGGATTGAACAAAGGCCCTTGCACTAGACTACTGAGCCATCTCCCAGCCCTTACAGATGGCTTAATTATTGTGCAGAAAGGTATACCTGATTTTATATAGGAAAGGAACTTTATTAATACCTGAAGAACTTAAAAACTAAAATACATTCACACGGCCTGATAAGAGAATTATTTAAAACAAATGTATTTGTTTTCTGTTATGTATAGTGAAAAAGTATAGTTTGGCAAAAACATGCAATAGAGCTCCCAAATTCTATAAATAACTTTATTCAGAATAAATAATAATTCATCATAGACAGCGAGAAAACTGCTTTCTGATCTAATGGTAAAACTCTGAGTGTTGCAATGTGCATGTGTGAAAGTCAGTTTCATAAACTCAACAGAGGTTTTACAGAATAATGGCAGGAACTGTTCTCAACAGTTTCTATTTATTTTTCTCTAATCACAATGTAAAACAGTCTCCCTATACCTTAGTTACTTTTAACTAGCAGGGACGTAATGTTGCAAAATAATCTCTCCTGATAAGTTAAACATTTCAAAGTGGGAGGAAAATGTTTTAGGTTAATATAAAGTTGGGGCAAAAATGTAGTTTGGTAAAAGGGGATCAAGTGGATCGGTTTCCACACAAAGATGGCGATTTGAATATGTCAAACAAATATTTTTATGTATTTCAGAAAACGTGCTCATATGAACAATCATGTTCATTAGTGGCAAATACACCAATGTGACAGCAGGTGATCTGCCTGTTATGCTGCCTCAGCAAGCTGCAATCTGTATAAGCTTCATTTTCCTCAAAGGTAAAATGGACTGCAATTTTTCTCTTCAGATTTTTGTTCATTTACTGTTTTTTTCCTTTTTGTTTGTTTTGTGTTTTGCTTCAGTCTTCTGTAAGAGCTTATATTGAAGATATTTGAAGGCACTCTTAAAACTATACAAACACTGATTTGTTGTTGAGCTACAGCTCCTGACTACTCAAAAACAGTGCTTCCTGAGACAACTGCAGTTTGTGCATATTAGCCACTCAAAGTCTCTACTAAACTTTAATCACTAAAAACAAAGGCTAAGTCAAAGTAGATGAAATATGTAGATTATATAGGGCAATGCACATCAAAATTTGATATCAATGACCTAGGTTCAAATCTAAGCTTTATAATTACAAAGATGCATGATTTGAGAAATTTATATAATCTCTCAGTATCAAGATTAAATGAGGGCTGGGGGAGATGGCTCAGTGGAGTAAGCGCTTCCCTGGCAGGCGCAAGGACCTGAGTTCAATCCCCGGTTCCGCAAAAAAAAAAAAAAAAAGAAAAGAAAAGATTAAATGAGAATTAGAACAAACAATATATTTATAAACACAGCACAATACATAACAATAGCTAATACCAGCATAACACATACTAACACCTAATACCTTAATGAATCTGAAACGTGTTTAAAAATATTTAACAAAATGCATTAATGTTATTTCTTCAAGTCCCATTTTGACCTTTTTCCAAATTAAATTGTAACACTGCAACCTACTAATAGATCAGAGTTCTGATGTATAATAAGTTATCTTATAAATCAAGGTTTGAGGATATTTTATTAATACATTGGTCTGTAGTCTATCTATCTATGTAATATAAACTAAATAATCAGTGAGATCACTGCCAGTCAGAGGGAGATTATTTTAGTAATTCAACAGTTAATTCTTTTGGATGTATCCCAACATAGATATTCTATATTTCCAACTCTATATTGTGATGGCAAATCTATTTCACAACATGTTCTAAATAATAACTTAATGAGATTCTTTTAAAGTTTTATGGAATGTGGGGGACAACCTGCTCGTGGCCCCCTCCTGTCCTTCTCTTGGACAGGAGCTTTCTTCCCCCCCCCCAAGTAAATCTATTAAAAAATAAAATAAAATAATTTTTTTTTCTTGCGGAACCAGGGATTGAACTCAGGCCTTTGCGCTTGCCAGGGAAGCACTTATTCCACTGAGCCATCTCCCTGGCCCCTAAAATAAATTTTTATGTAATGTTATTTTTATCTAGTTTTAAAACTAGCAATCATAAATAAAATATAAAATAAAAAATGAAAAAACTTGCAATCACCAGTCAGCTTAATATCAATGTATAAACAATATACACAAGTACGATTAGAAAGCTATACCATAGTGACTTTCAATGCGTACACCAATTGTAACATTTAGTAAGCTGGTGATTATTTTTCTTAGCTAATTTCAAAGTGCATGGACTCTCTATCACATATACACAACTGTACATATATAAATGTAAACTTCCCAGCAACACTGAATTAAAACTCCAGAAAAATAAAAAAGATTCTTAGAGAACTTGAAGGAAATAACGGTTTCTCATTGATTTATAAATCAACTCAGTTTTACCAATACTATTTACTAATGGTACAAATGTTTATGCTTTCTTGTGTCTGTATCTTTGTTTTGTAATAGCCATGATTAACATAAATTACATTCTCCAAGCAATGCTTCTTTTCAACCACTACACAGCAAGGCCCACACATATTTTATGATATAACTTAAATATTATTACTATAAAGCAAGTCACAACACAGCAATGCAAGACAAACTCATTGTGTTCATTCTAAAGTACAAATCATTTGCAAAATTGACTTAATTTTGCAAAACATGGGTGTTCATGCTGTTTACTCAAATATATATCACCATATTTCTTTCTCCAGTCATATGGATACTAACTTTGTCACGTGTATTTTCTGCAAAGAAAAAAGCATTTAATATATTACTGCTACACCATTAATTTTTCAGATCTTCTATGACCAGGTTTTTCAACATAGGAACTGTCAGAAGAAATGCAGTCCAAAACAACTGAAATACAGATACTAAAAAGACTTACCTCTTGAAAGCAGTGGCACATTATAATGCAAAGACGTAAGGAAAGGAAAAAAGATAACAAGTTAAACTACTTGATGTAAAGTATCATTCTGGCCAGGAATATAAAGTTTCCTTCTGTTTTTCATAGAGTAAGGACAGTATAGAAAACAACATGTCAAGATAAATAATGTGTACATGTAGAAAAAAGATTTAAATGTCTTAAGGTGTCTTATTCCTTATAATAAGACAGTTTATACAGTACTAAGGTTTCGGAAACTCTGAATATAACTTCTATATTTCATACTATTAGATGAGAATAGCTAATTATTTCTTAGTAATGTTTAATAAGTTCTTGTTTGGGTCTTATTAATTCTACACAAATTTAAGTGAGATAGCAATTAAATTGGCAAACTACCCATTTTAAATCCATTAAATATGAAGTCTTTTATGTACTTTGAGGAAAAAGACAACACAAGCATTCAACTTACTCTTGTTCTGAACAAGAGTAAGTTTATTTTAAAATAAAAACTAATATTAAAGCAACAATTCTCAATTTTCAAGACCTTTGTTTTTGCCAACATAAAATCGTGGGAAACAGAACAGTAAAGTTTGATAAGGAAGCAGTTCACTAACTGAAGCAGAAAATTCATCAAAATCAGAAAACACCTCTTCTTCCTGGTGACAAATTTCTCAACTAGTTGTATGTGGGATTTATTTTGATTTTGATCATCTAAATGTAGTGAGAGGGCATTACAAATTTGTCTTAGAATTTCACAGACACTATGCAGTTTTCAGAGTAGTAAAGCTTTCATTGTCCTAACATCTGCACAACATCTGAAATCAAGCTATTTTTAAAGACTTCTTTGCAAATGCAAAGCAGTAACTAGTTTGTTGACGCAAAACATGTAACAATCCCTTTGCTCCTAAATTATGCACAGTGCTGAACATCAGGCATGAGCTTAATAAACACTTGCTGACTGATTAAGAAGCTACAGAAAGGCCCTGGAACTAAAACAGGACCTAGCTGCAGTTTGAAAATAATAAGCTTTAAATCATTTGAAGCTTAATCACAAAATTTTTGCTTATAAAATATAATGGTGAAACCCATTTTAAAACCAGTACTTTACCCCATATAGTTCTCCATTGAGAAAATGTGTCTTACATAAAAGTATTAGGAGAAAAGTTTTTAGTTAAATACTGACTACCTTCAGTGGATTTTTTCCTCTACCGAGCCTGAAATTTAATAAATATGGTAGACTCCTGTTTCCACTTTGGGTGAGGCTAGTGTTTGAAGGCAGCCTTTTTCAGGTTATCTATTTTGATTACTTTAAAATCTATTATCGTAAAATAGGTAAACAAAAAAAATTACAACCAAATATACCTCAACACTAGTATCTCTTTCTCACATGAAGGAATACTATTCTTTGAGACACACCATTTTTCCTCCGCATACACATCTAAACTTTAAAAAGCCACCCTTGTCCATAAAGCCACACGTTCAGCCCAGGAGCACTTCTTGCAGAGCTGTGCCCCCTCTCAGCAGCCTGAAGCCCCACCTCCTTCTTTTACAGAGCTTCACAGTTGCCATGACAGCAGTGCCACAGAGAGCACAGCCACTTCTTCACATGAATTGGTATTCGGAAGGGATTATGTCTCATAGAAAGGAGCCATCCACACAATTATTTTAACTACGTTTTCTTGGGAATGGGCATTGAAGAAAATCATTACATGTGCAATTCTCTCTTTTTTTTTAAAGGTACAATTTATTTAAATAAATCAAATCAAAACAATTTTACGTAAATGATTTTTCCTGTTAATGTATCTTCACTGAATTTCAAAAGAAATAAAGTGAGCTTCTATAAATGAAGACTGTGAAAATTAATGTATAATCCTGTGAAGTTCAATGAGCTTTTAAGTGTACCCTACAAAATGAAAAAAAGTGAATTTTCAAAAATTTCTGCCAACATTATGTATTAAATGTCCATTCATTTTAGAAAACTCTGTAGGGCCTGGGGTATAGCTCAGCAACACAAGTGCCTGCTGGGCAAACATAAGGTCCTGAGTTCGATCCCCAGTACCAAAAAGGAAATAAAATTTCTGTAGTGCTTCTGGTGCTATAAACATGTGTTGTTTTCATTACTATTGGTGTTTTTAAAGAGTAAGTCCTAGCCTAAGTTTATCCAAAAAGAATGTTATGTGCTTTAAGTTAATCTTTCACCCAGAAACAAGTCAAACACTGTTTTCTAGACTACTTAGGGAAAAAAACCATTAAATTCTTCCTTTGCTTTAGGTTGACATGTATAAATTAAGAAATGTGTATCACACTGTTTAAACTTCTAGAAGCCAACAGAAGGATGGAAATTTTGAGGAAGAAAAATCCAAGATTTGCCTTGCATTATAAGTGCCAGCTGCTCAATATTGCAAATAGTTGAAGGAAAAGAGTTACTGAGTATGCTATTGGTTCATAACACATCAAAATGCATAATTAGATTTTCACTGCTTTGGAGAAAGTGCTATGCATATATAAGGCCACATGCTAATAAAGCAAATATAACTTCTTCCTGCAAAAAACAACTGATTAATGAGGATATACAGGAGTTTCCTGGAAATAACCTGAAAGAAGAGTTCTGAGAAGAACAGAAAGCACCCTTGGTCACCTACCCATTTTGCTGTTTACTGTCACCCTGGGATCCTCTTCTCTGGCCCTCTGCTAGCTCCTGAGCAGTCTCGGAACACACGCTGGTGACTGTGGGCTGCCGTGGGACATTAACTGCAGTTTTACCAGCACTCAGTGCAGGTGAACACTGGTCAGCACTAAGACTGGCATTAACATGCAGTCCAGATGCAGAGGACAGGGGAGAAGTGACAGCAGCCACAGGTGGAGGGGAGGCATGTGATGAAGTGGTTGCATGGGCTGGGGTGAAGGCAGACGATGGTGATGGGATGGAGGTGACTTTTGGTGAAGACACAGAACCAAAGGGTCGTGGTGCCTTATTGTAGGCCATGTTGGTGGTGGAAGTGACTTTGGACACAGCAGGAGAAGTAATGGGCACAGGTTTAACTACTTCTTTAGGTTCTCCCTATGTGAAATAAAAATAAACATACACAAAAACACACCAAATACATGCAAAATATATCCACTGAAAACAGCACACAGCAGCCTTTTAAAGACAAACATAATCAAGTTAGCAGCTCAAATGTCATGTTTCTGGTGATATAGAATAACATGCATGCTAACTGGACCCAACATGCGTAATTGTGTATAATCATATTTTTATTTATAAAAATAAAAGGAGTTTCAAAATATCATCATACAGCCTACAGGCTATCATTAGTATTTAGATATATTTCCCCAGAACTTTTACCTCGGAACACACACAGTTTTACTGCAGTTTTACCAGCACTCAGTGCAGGTGAACACTGAGTATAAACAAAATATTGCTGAATAAAACTTTTTAAGCATCCAGGACCTCAATTATAATTTCATCTTTCAAACATGTTTAATTTTTCTCCATGGTACAATTATATGATTCTTATAAAAGCACTAGAACATATTACATTCTTCAATTGAAAAAAAAAGCATGGAGAATAAGATAATTTTTATCTCACTCTGAAATGTGCACATTCTAATTATCTAGAGTTGAGAATCTGAAAAGAAAAAAAAATTACATAAACAAAACCAAATCAATCCTTTCTCCTATAACTCATTTCTATTCTCTATGAATGTTTTAAGATATCATTGAGAGACAGAATAAAATTCCTTTCACAAAAATATTTAATAGTTCCATGAGTGAAAAATGCTTAGATAGTTCCATATTGCCAGACACAGGAGAAAAATTAATTGGAAAGAGTATTTTCTCTTACAATTACTAGAACTGTGCTGAATTGTGTTTACAAATCCTTTTTACAAAGTATGATTTAAAATAATCAGATTAAGCTTTATATTATGATATTCAAAATAAAACCCTAGAGGGGCTGCCAAATAACTCAGTGGATTGAAGGGCCTGCAAGCAGGCGCAGGGGCTGGGGTTCAATCCCCAGGCCTGCTGTGCTGGCCCCGCCCTCAGGGCACACTGAGATGGCAATTGAGACTGGGTGTGGTGGCATGTGCCTATGCTCCCAGCTCTTTGGAGGCTATAAACAGGCGGATCACTACCAGTCTGATCTAGTAGTGAGACCCTGGACACCCTGTAGCACCTTCCCTGAAATTCAAGAAAACATAAAAATAAAAATAAAACCCTATTCATTCTACCATCAAAGAAAAAAGTCAACTATTAAAGAAAACTTACAAGGGTAAGTCCATTTAATTTTTTTTTTAATACTCTAAATTAACATTACATAAATAAGAAAACTGAGGGGAAAAAAACTTAAAATGTTAAACATGTCAATATACTAAATCACTCAATAAAAAATGCAAGAAAAGATACATACAAGAATAAAGGTACAATGTCCAGCAGTCTAATCTAAGAATGTAATGAAATAATTCCTAGCTATTATTAAAGACATACTGCATATTCACTTTAGGTTAATAGTTACATATTATTTTTAAATACATGAATAAAGGTAGAAAAATTAGAAATAAATATAAAAGAAGAAAACTGGACATGAATTAGTGATCATGTATAGTTGTGGAAATATTTTCCAATACAGATATAACTAAACATGGTAATTCTATTAGGGTTGATTTCTATTATGTTCTTCATCTTTTATGGAAAATAAGAGGAAAAAACGTGCTGAGATTTTAAATAATATACTGGTATAGGCTGAGAGAGAAAGAGAAATTACAGATGGCTCAGGAGAGAGAAGCAAATGGTAATTTTGTGACACCAGATTAGAAACGCACCTTTTGAACAGAAATTGGCTCCGGCTTGGGTGTGGCAGATGCTCTGGGGGAAAAAAGAAAAAAGAAAACTATAAATTTCTAGAAACTGACAGTCTTTATGAAATTTTCATGTTATATACCTTAATATGTTAAATCAGAATTTATGTTTGATTATAGTTCAGAATGTTCACCATCATCAAAATTTTCTAATTATTTCAAAATTAGAAACAAAACATTGCAAAATCCAATATCCTATTCATTAGCAGTGCGTGGTTCCATATAAACTCAAATGAAGAAAAACAAACACCAATCATGCTTCTTAATGCATCCATTTTTTAATCTTTAAGGCTATTTTCTACCTTAAAAGGCAAAGTACAATAAGCATCGCTTCCTGATCCTTCAGAGTTTCCTCAACCATACAATCCAATTTTCAATCTCTACTAGCTTCTTCTGTCTTTTCTTCTAATATCTATAATCACATTGATGGTTACTAGGTATTTTTGTGAAGAAACTATACACAAGTATAGCTTATATAAAAATTTGCATATTCTGGTTGAACTGAGTGCCTGAGAGTATTTTGTATTTGTATTATTAAGTGTGTATGCATATTCATGTATTTGATATGCTAAAAACTGTAAGTTCTTACTCTAGGCCAGTGACGGCAAACCTTTTAGAGCCTTCAGTGGTAACAGCTGGCTATGGTATGTGTGCCATAGGATCACCACCTCTGTACTAGGCTACACTTTCAGTAAAGGTATGACTATTGTTCTACTAGTATCTTTGAATTAGCAAAGTTCCTCACAACATGTTATCTGTAATGAATGTGAACGAGAGCGAATAAGGAAGGAAAAGCAAAAATACATGCATACAACTTGACTATTTGTAATTTCAAATTAATTTTTAATATATGCTTCTTCTTGCACTATCTGCCTTCTGATTAGCATGTATTACACTGTAACAATAATTGGTATGGAGCATTTTAGCCCATATAATCATGACAATAATAAGAGTAAAAAGTTCAAATGGGGAACTTCAAAGTTCAACTAATTGCTTAGAAGGGAGCTGAAGCTTCCTGTTGTTACATATTATAAGATACTAATAAAATAATTGGGAGAGCTTTTGATGCTTTAAACACTAATTGCTCAATACGAAGGCACAAGTTATTTTCAATATGCAAGATGCAACGTAGCTCCTCTCATATCACTCCAGCCTAAAGATAATGCAGAATCCACGGCACATGAATGTAGCAGGAAGAGTCAGTGATACTAACTTCATTCTATAAACCATGAGATTGTCTTTTTTACAAAGATAACACAAATAGAAGACACTGACATAGGATGTTGGGTCTACGAGTATAATCTAGTAATGAAATCTGATCAACAGTTTTACCATAACTGAATTTTCCAGTAACAGATAATTTGGTTAGCTATGGCAGGCACTAAGAAAACTGACTAACCTAATGAAAGGCCACAATAGATGCTAATATCTGGTTACTGCAATATAGGTTATACCCTGCAGAGTTGCAAAACTTTCCATGTGTACTTTGCAACAGACAATTTCTCTTAGCTTTTAGGAATATTAAACAAGGAAAGGAAACAAGTTTAAGAACAGAATAGTGGAAACTTCCTTTTATTGAAATTTCACAGTAAGATGTAATAACAAAGAATCTATGTATTAGAGCTCACCCAAAACATTGAAAGTTTGCCAAAAATAGAGAAGCCAATTTTCTTTTGGATCTGAATACTTTAAGGTACATGGAACAATTCTAGTAACAGAAAAACAAGTCATAAAAAAGAATATGGTATTTGACAGTCATTAAGTTTTCAAACAGGATAGAAAGTATGTATTTTATGTCTATGAGATCAAGTCCTTCAGTTTTTTACAGGTGTTAGTTCTAATTTGAAGAGAATTGGCAGCAATAACAAAACCACCAATTAGTTAGTTTTCCAACAGACATTTTGTTGGGAACTCCTAGAACAACAATAAGCCTCAACATAAGTAATTGAATTTGCAAAAAATATTGTTTGATATTTTGAATTCCCACAAAAATTTAAACATGAAATTTGAATCTGTTTATATTCCAATAAAATCTCTCAAATATAATGAGATGAATTAAATAATCAGAGAAAAGAGAATTAATATATCCTCAAAACTCCACGGTTGAATTCATTATATAAACAGCCTTGGGGGTAGACTGGCATATAATTAAATAAATAACCAAATAAAATGGTTAACACTTAATGCAATAAAATTAGTTCTCTTACTCTAAATGCTAACCACCAAGTGAGTCACAGAATCATTAAACCCTGAATAAAGGTTCCTTTCTTACATGGCAATTGAAGTTGTCTGGCTTCTGCTTGAGATGTTTATAAGTTCATAATTTCAGCAAAAATTTGAGCTCTTTTGTTAAATAGTCTTTATTTTAGTGCTTTGCTTTTTTTGGGAACAAAGGTTAAGCCATTCACATTGAAAATATTTTGAACGTCATGTTATATACAACAGATGTACATAAAATCTGTAACATCTATTGGCTACATTTAGACCAGAACACCAAAATCCTATAAATAAGTGAAATTATACTTTTTTTCAGTCCTGAAGATTACAACCAGAAGCTATGCACTTAATTACATCCCCTACCTTTTATTTTCATTCCATTTAATTTTATTGTTAGACAAAAGTCTCACTACATCACCCAGGCAGTAACAGGTCATCAACCTCCCAGAGTTCTAGGATTATAGATGTGTTTCACCAAGCTGCTAATTATATATTCTTATATGGTTTGGGAAACTTAGCAAGTGTACTAATTATGAAAGAACAGAATGAAAATATATACCATCTTTTTTGTATGACTGTAGTAAGTGCTAAAAAACTAATACTTTTTAAAATGCTGAGTAAGACTGGGTGTGGTGGCACATGCCTGCAATCCCAGTGCTTAGGAGGCTGAAAACAGGAGGATCGCTATGAGTCCAATCTGTGTAGTGAGACCCTGTAGGTCCTGTGCTAAATGCATTTTTTTTTAAATGCTAATATTTCGCAGATCTATATATTAGTACAGCTCTTTTGGAAAATACTGAGTATTAAAAGTCTTCAAAAAAATAATAAAAAAAAAAGTCTTCAAGAAAGATCATATCAGGCTCGCCAAATAGCTCAGCAGATTGGCCAGGGGTTCAATTCCCGGACCTGACATGCTAATCCCACCCCTGGGGTGCACTGAGATGGCGATTAAGACTGGGTGTGGTGGCACACACCTGTAATCCCAGCACTCGGGAGGCTGGAAACCCCCAAGTATGAGTCCTATCTAATAGTGAGAACCTGAACACCCTGTAGACCCTTCCCTAAAATAAAAAAAAAAAAAGGAAAGATCATGTTCCCTGACATAATCAACTTGCGGGAGTCTATCATAGGGAAATAAAGTATGAATGACTGCAGAAAAATTAATGTACTAGTGCAAAATTGGAAATAATTATTAAATATGCAATGAGTAATTGGTTAATTATAAAAAGCACATGATGAGGCTGCATAGATGCCTTGGTGGTCTAACTGCCTGCCTATCAAGTGCAACCAGAGTTTGATCCTGCATACTGGGCCAGCCCCAGAACCTGGGGCACACCATGCCAGCTACTGAAACCAGACACGGTGGTACACATCTGTAATCCCAGCGCTGGGAAGGCTGAGACAGCAGGATCACTGCAAGTCTGAGCTGCATAGCGAGACCCTGTACCACATAAATAAATAAATAAATGATTTTTTAAAAGCACACAATGAAAAACTGTGAAACAACTGAAATCATTCTTAAAATTCTGCACTATATTATACAAGGCTTCCTCCATGAAAGTATACCTACTCAGCATGATCAGTTTATATAAAATAAGTGGATGGAAACATATCAACTTTATGTGTTGTAAGAAACTCAGAAACTATGAATATAACTTAAGCAATGTTTGAGAAAAAAACTCCATTTCATTCATCACATTGAAATAAATCTATTTTCAATGTTTTCCTGGGGGGGGGGAACCTAACATATGAATAAGGAAACAAAATTAAATGTTACAATTATTTTTTTTTTTAGTTAAGCAAATCTATTAAGCATTATGTGAAAAAGAATAAATCTGAAAAGATCAGTAAGCGAATAATTAAAAACTGAGGTACAGTTTAAAAAAATACCCTATGCCTACATTTTCTCTTTAAATAACAATAGGTAAATCTATCTCCCTTGGAACTACAGTAATCATCACAAATCATTTGTGAGTCTCAAACTAGAAGAGATCCTGGCAATGGCTTGGTGCCATGGGCTCAACAACGTGCTTACTGTTCTCTCTTCCTTTGTGTAAAGCCACTGTGCAGCAGGAAACCATGATGCTGAGACACTAGGCTCAGTACCATCCACAGCTTATGGAACTTAAAGACAAAGCAATCAAAAGCTGACTGGTTTTCATAAAAATAATTCTAAAATTAAAGATCTTTGATGCATTAACATCAGGTTCAGAACTTCTAGTTAAATAGTTGAAAGTAGTTCTAACAGGGTTATGAAAAACTGAAACTACGATATTTTGGTTAAAACAATTAGTAACAGCTCTAACATAAGTTAGCTTCAAAGGAATCAAGCAAAAATATATCTTATGAACACTCAATGAATGGTGCTATTATTAAATTATGCTTTTAACTAATTGATGCATTTTTCTAACATTCTTTTACCAAGTAACATGGTTTTTGGTCAAAAAAGTAGGGAAAAAAATTCACATTAGTGTTGAAGAATGTGAAATCAGGAAATAGAACACACTACAATTCACAACACTCAGTCTCATGACTCCTGCAACCATATCTAACATATATACAATCACACAGAAGGAATGACGGGTTTTGGCTCATCTTTTATGACATCAGCTCTATATAAGCTTCCCACAGCCTGGCCATCTTTGGGCCCACTGACCTTAGAACCCATAAACACTAGGTCACATCATTAATCACTTTAATTGCAAAGTTGTCAATTTACAATAACAAAGCAACTCCAGAGGAATAATAATGAGCACTCAAGACTGCAGAGGACATCTCTTTAAACTGCCT